TCTAAATCTCTACTTATCCTTTTTAAATTAAACTATACTTTGTTAATTAGATTATATTTACTATTAGCTAATAACACTTTTGAGTTTACTGTCTGTTTAAATATTTCTCTTAACTTCGATCGAAGAACAAGTTGCCAAAAGATAAAACCAGTTTTATCATTTTCTTATTAATACACAAGCCTGTGAATTTAAACTTCATAAAAGTTGTTTTGGTTTTTAATAAAGGATCTTTCATAATTCAGCTATGCAGATTTCGAAAATAATATTAATTTTTTTCCTATCACGTAAGGAATTTTTACAAATCGGGAAGAAGAAAAAAAACTCTTACTTAGATCAAATTATTATTTCATTTACTACAATGAACATTTTTTATTATTATGTTTGTTAACAAAAATACAATCAAACTGAAGAAAAGGGAAGAACGTTGATGTCAAATGAATATGCATCTTCATTCATCCTGATTTCTTTTTGTGAAATCTACGTCTTTTAGTCTCAAAACTACGTGTTGTGGTCTTTCTTTTATGTATTGCGTTATGATGTTTTTTTAAAAAATCTGTACGTGATGGAGAAAAGTGGACATCATTTTCGGATTTAGCATACAGGAATTACTGTAGAACATGTAAACATTTTAAGACAATGAAACCATCTTGAGGCTAATAAAAAGTTAGAAAAGCAATTACTGTTAGATATACATGTAGTTCGTATTTAAAACCGCAACATTGTATTTGTGTTGTCACAGATAGCCAAGAAAGACTACGAAACTGGTGTTTCTCGTGTCATCCAACGACAGGTATACAGATCAGATGAAAATATTGATCGACGGTATAGCAATGTACCTCTACAGTTACGCGGATCATTAAATAAAGATAAAAATCCTTTTACTTACACTCCTCTGGGAATCAACTTAACAGAGATTAAGTCAACTCGATTGACTAATAGGATTATTAAAAACCAGCAAGACCCTGTGGTAGCTGCTTGGTTTAAGCCTCAGAGAGGATCTCGCCAGTTCGTTCAGGATGAGGTTCCGCTCCCATCAGTAGCTACAAGACAACCAGTGTTATCAGCCACAGAGAAACATCCAGCGCTAACATCACTGTCGTATCTCGTGGGGTCGAAAGTGAACCCCCAAACACAAAAAATTACAATTCCATCCTACAACTCACCGCTGGGATTGCTTTCCACAGAAAACACTCTAAATGATTACGAATCACAGGCAGAAGACACTATCAGACAATTAGAATGGTAAGTAAAAGTTACATCGGGGTTTGTAACAATATTTTACTTCTTATGCAACGCAAAATTAAGAAAACTAGTTTGTGTTTCTGATAATCATACTGTTTCTTTGAAGTTTAAAACGTCTGCACTGTATTAAGAAAGAGAAATTCAACGTTGTTTGTTGACTTGCGAAAACACTTTGTCACATTTTTTCGATTCAACGTTAGATTTTCTAAATTTTCCTGTTTCTTTGAAAACACATATAAACCGGTTTGAGTCAATAACGTTATGTTATTGTGTATTTCAGGCTACTTCTAGCAAATAACAACCAGGACCCGCGTCCTTATAAATCCCAAGAACACAATCCCATGCGTACCCATGGTGCCTGCCACGATATAGATTTCCAGGATTCCAGAAACTTTGGCCAGTCACATGTTCTTCAAAGGCTTATATATACTGATGACAACAAGCGAAATGAAGGTGGGATTTTGTTCCGTTAAACCTTTAAATTGGCACACAAGATACTACTTGCCCTACTTAAAATATCCAATTATTATTATTACTAACCCAGTAAGTAGTTAAGTTACTGCTGTTAGTTTTATAAGTAAAAACAAAATACATTCCTATATATTCAAATGGTTGAATAGTGTTTTTGTTGCAGCAGTGAAAGGAAATCATCAGTAGATTTTATTCATATGTCTTTATTTTATAAATACTGGAAAGCTATACAAATAAGAAAGTGTTGATTGTACGTGTTTCTTCGTCTTTCAGTTTCTATATGATAAGAAACCATATAGTTGTTTTTAATTCCCCGTCCGTTACTATAGTGATAGATTATTATATGGTCAGCTATATATTTTTTATCTTTCTGTATTTGATCAATTGTCAGAGTGAGAAAAGGTTATATGATAGATCTTGTTTGTCTTTCTGAATGAAAATGTTACTTCGCAATACAATAACGTTTCTAGAATAAATGATGTAAAAAATTACATCAAAATTATAATTTTATTATAAACTTTGGTATTATTTTTTCAAAGTTATGCATAAATTAGAGGTTCGAGATTGGCTCAGTGCTTATGTGTGGAACTATAGATTTATGAGTTCGGCTTTCGCGTCACATCGATAAAAAACAAAATAGCTCTTCACACTCTGGAGCTGTGGGTATGTTATAAGAGTGACAGTGAAATCGCAATATTCAGTCAGACAGTGGTAATTAAGATTTGTTAGTGGATGCTTTTGATTAGTTGTCTTCCCTCTAGTCAATCTGTGCAAAATTAGGAACGGCTAGTTCAGTTACTTCCTGAATGGCTTTGCGTGAATATCCGAAAAAAAAAGAAGTTTAAATTAGAAATAGCATGGTGCTAGATGCAAGTCACTTAGTCATCCATTTATCAGGGTAGAAAACGCTCGCATGATATATCTCACGTTATCGATTGACGTCATTTATTTGGTTAGCATCAGCATGATCTTCATATAATCTTGCTGTAATTCAGAGTAATTAGATGTAATTTGCATTGTTAAACGCCGAAAGCTGACGAAGCAATAGAATTAACTGCTCGGTCTCAGTAATTAGCAATTAAATCACGCTAGTCTGCAAACGTTTTTCCACATTCCCTCATAATTAGCCCATATGGTAGAGAAAAAAACAACAACTAACAAAGACAGATTTTATAATGATACTTTACATGTCTCTGATTTGAAAACCGTAATGAACCAATTAAGAGAAATGTGTGAAACAAATCTGAAGTCTAGCTTAATTTTCATCGTTCATGTTAGGCCTAATTTTAGACATAATCTGAGATTTTCAGGCTTATTTGTACACTACTCAATGCAAAACCGAAGTATGGTAGATGCTTTTATAATACATACTTTAACTAAATGAGAAATATAAGGTTACGTGTAATTTTTCAAAGAAATTTTATCTTTTGTTTGAACAATTGGTAATCCTTGATAGGCTAACATAAATGTTTATTTTCCAACCATTTTTATCCGAGTGATAGATCTGGTGGTTGTATATGAAATACTTTTAAGTAATGTTATATTAAAACTATGCATTTAAACTTCGGGCTTATATTGTAAAATTGTATTTTACTTCTGACTTTGATTTTTAGGTTGTAAGTTAATCTGATTCTAGAGAAAGTGTAATTATTTGGGAAGCCGAAGTTTTGAGTTCAGAAATATTAGTTTTGGAGGACGTATCAAGAACAACTGTTGCTCTTTATTTGTTTCATAGTTCTGGTGCGTAAACACAGTAAGTCCGAAAATATATAAATGGACAAAGTTGAACGCTTCATCCATATTGAGTTATAGCTCAGTTGATGAGTTTTAGGAGTTACAAGACGACTTTTTATTTTGTTCGCATGTGAATAACGATTTTTCTCGCGAGTACATAGATAACATGTACGAGTTCCTGTAATATTACAAGCTGTGGACATTACGAAATATATAACATAACACATCATATTATATTTAAATGTTTCAAAATGGTTGAAAAATAAATGGCAGTTGTTCGTTCAGTAGAAGGGTTTTGGAGTGGAAGTAATTTATGACATTGCACGTAGTAGTGACCTTGTAAGAAGGATCGTAAACACTACTTGTAAAGGAGTCACGTGATCGTCACACTGCACCGAACAAGGAAAAGTTTAAAAGCTCTTGTGATCTTGTAATGTTCCGTGGTTTTCTTGAGTAACACTAACATGTGCGAAAAACAGCATATCAAATGGATTCTGGCAAAACCAGGTAGGTGAAAGTCTCTTCGTAACAAAACTTTGAACATATCTGTTTGTTGTGTTAATATTGCGAATCAGCAATTGTTTTTCTAACAATTTATGAATTACTTGTCATAGTTTTGCCATCGTTTTATAGGACTAATAATATTAGATAGATATATACTACATATTATGGCGCCAAGAAGTGTTTTGTAAAAAACAAAAACAAAAAACGTGACTGTGCCAAATACATATACATGTTTTCAGAAGGTAACTGCTATGAATCCGAATTATAAACACCTGGATGTATAATTATAGTGTTCTTTTTAGTTAGTGACCTATTTTTCACGTATAGGAAATGATAAAACACTTGTACTCTAAGCCTAAATTCATGATAAATATTTCTTTATGGCGTGTAGTGTTTAAACTGGCGAACCAGGAATAACAGGCCATGTTCATTGTACTTATAGTAAAAAAACAAAACAAAAACATTGTAGAATAGTAAAGGTTAATAAAAGGCGCTATCGACAGGTGGACATTCGTTTTTTCTGAAGGTCCTTAATAGGTAATATAAGTGTGATATTATATTTTAGAACGGATTATTGTTTAGTGATATCCCACCTGTTACCTATCAATGGTAGTTTAGGTCAAGATCTTAATGGCTATCGCCTATTACTTGAGGTTTGCACTATAACTCCTAACCGTGTTATTTCATCGTATATTATATATGTCTCATACTCATTTGCCTGTATTTTTTGTTTCTATTCACTCGCTAGGAGAGTGGATTAATAAAACGCTAAAATATATTGATTCATAACCTCTTGTCAGCAGCGGCGAGAAACAGATGAAGTATAGTTGAAATACCATTTTACATTGGAAACCCGTAAACAATCTGATAAAAAATATTACCATTCTGTTTGTGTAGAAAAACTTGTCCAGTCGCTGTATGACATTGCTTACAACAAATCAGATTTCTCGATATTGAGAAAGCATTCGACGCTTCATGACACTAAAATATCGAACGTCACAAATGAAACTACCGCGAGGTGTTATTTGCTGGCTCTCCAACGCTCTAGAGTCTAGACAACAGGAAAGCCAGAATTAATGTGTCGGGCACCTTTTCGGAAGTAGGTGTCTCGCAAGGAGAGATAGTTAGCCCTATTCTATTCATCAAGTGTGTGAATGGAATGGTCCAAATTTCTGCTTATGCTCCCAATTTGCTGATTTGGAAGAGCTCATATATTCCAACAATAGCAACGACAAATTTACAAGCACGGTTAAATGAAGTAGACAACTACTGTAACAAATGGGGAATCAAGACAAACGCCCCTAAAACACAAATCATATTATTCACAAAATCAAAAAAGAAGAAGAGCATCGACCCCCCAAAAGTATACATTTACGGAACTCTTCTCCAGGTAGCCACAACAGCCAAATTCCTGGGTATAACCTACGATTCTAAACTGAATTGTACTAAGCGTATAAGTGAAATTAGAAACAAAATCTGGTTAAGAGTGAATTATAATGTACTGTTACGTCTGTGTTCGTTTGTTAATTTTCCGTAGAAATTCTTTCTGAGAAACTTCTGCGATACAAGTCCTTTCCTAAATAAAACTAGTTTATTCTTTCTCATTTCAACTTTGCAATACACTTAATTTCCACAGTCACTTTAACTTAAACACACGCTATAATTCACAATGATTTACACACTTTACTTAGGGATTGATTCGATTATCTGTTTATATCTTCAATCTCTCTGTCTGCTATTCCAGTTCCGATTAATTGTCTCGCTTTATCTGGCGCGCTTATATACAAGAATAGAGGGCGTCTAGCAAATACTGGATTATTCGTGATGTTCCCCGATCCTTCTACATACTCATTAAGTGTTACCAGCGTCACGTGAATTCCGCTGTCGTAACAGTACGATGTCTGATTGGCAACAACAGGGACGCTACAACCGAAAACACACTTAAAATCTATACAAAAACACAACCTTTCGCAAAAATCTCCATATTGTCAGACAGACTTCAAAATAGATTAGTAGATTACTTTCGCAAAAATCGTAACAAAAATGCATCATTAAGAACGCTGAAAAACTTTATCATACAGGATGAAAATGACTTAAGAACTTTTCACCACTAAATCTAGTAAACTCATTAAGTAACCTATGACCACCTACTACTGCGCCAACCGGTAGCTAGATATAGTGTTAATTTTATTTTAAAAAGGTTTTTTATATGTAAACATAAGATTAATGCTGTATATTTTACATCGGTATGCATGGAACTTCTTTGGTGAACAAAATTAAAAAGAACAAGAGAAGTATACACCAGAAAAAACGAACAATCTACACAGTTCGTTCGAGAACATGATCTGAAAAAGGCCACTCGCGTATGCAAACGAACTATGGTGACGCGCATGCAGTAGCTGCATGATGTAATAATGGATTTTCCTAGCTATCGGGCCGACTTCTACCGAATAATTAATGTGGGCTTCATCCACGACACTCACGAACCAAATCAACAGCCAAGGAGGGAAGTAAAGGTCCAGGGTGTACTTGATCCTCAGAAAATCGATGTTGAGAGCCTCAGTGTATATATAGATCGACTTCACTGTGCAGAAGGTAACCTACATGATGCAGTGACTTATTCAGAATTGCTTGAGTATGATTTTGGGCAATGGCTTTTATACACATAGGTATCGTGTAGTGTGACTCAAGGAACGCAACACGAGAGGTACTATTTTTGTTAAATGCTTTTCAGCACTCTGTCTACATGATCAATTGATTTTTACCTCTAGTTTCGGTAATTTGGGCCGATTGCGGCCCAGTTGTTAGCGTGTAGCGTGCCCGACTGTGCTTATGAGGTTTAGTAGTCCGCTCTCCGTTAAACCCCCCCCCCCCCCAAAAAAAAAAAAAGGTGCTGTGCACTTTCGGGCCGGTGATGCTTTATAACAGTGATTGTCAAATTTCAATATTCAGTCTGCCAATAGTTGGCGGTGGATAGCGTCAGGCCCTCTCAGAGGTCAAAGAGGCCCGGCCCACTTCTATCTTTCGAGGCCCCTGGCTATAATAATAAAAAAAAATGATGTCACATGAAAACAAAATAAAACAATTACTAGCCCAAAAGAAAAGGGGAAACAATTTGAATATTTGATTTGTTTGTATAAATTGCAGCTATAAGCTGAGAGTGTGTCACATTTTGGTCTCATTGGGAGGCACATAAAAACAAGACGCGAAATTTAACAAATGCAAATAATTAACAAGTATCTAAATTTGATGCTCTCTTTGAGCTTAAGGCCCGGGCCAAATGCCCCCTTTCCCTAGTTGGCTCTAGATAATGTTGTCTAGCTGTCTTTTCTTGAGACTATCATTTCAAAATTAGGAAGGCTAGCAAAGATATCTTTCGTGTAGCTTTTCACGAAATCGTTATCCTGACCTCAGTCAAGAAGTAGCATTTAAAACACCTAGTACTTAGTACTAAATAACAAACTGGAAACAAGGTTTAATTTTTAAATAAGTTTAATATCAAAGTATGTTTAGAAATTGTGTGAATGCTTATTAAACTTTATTAGATCGGAGAAACCTAAAAAAAAAAAAATATAAGTACCAAAATTTTACCCCCGTCCCAGTGACACGGCGATAAATCTGCGGATTTAGAACACTAGGATCTAGGTTTCGATACCCGTAGTGGGCACAGCATAGATAGCCTTTTGTGTAGATTTGTGCTTAACTACAAGCAGATAAATCGAAATCTCTTTAAGCAAAGTCCATCTGTTAGTGTATTTTAAAGCACCTGTTTATTTTTACCGAAGAAGTTATTTTGAGTAGTATAAGAAGTTCTTTTTATTAAATATTGTTTCGAACAAACATATTATATAGACTTAACTAAACCGTAATGTTTTTATACGAATTAGAATGTCTAACGTTGGTGTCAAGAATTTTCTCATAATCCTGATGCAATAGCTCATATCATTAGTATGTTAAATTCTACGTCAGAATAGGAATACATAGAGAGGTCATACGAAGTCAAACGAATTTTTAGTAAACTATCATCACACGATTAATTTTTTCTTATGTTATTAATTTCATTATCACAACATTGGTATGCCAGAGAAGTTTCACTATCTAATGTCTTATGATAGAAGTTGCACTTAGATAAACTTGAAGCATCTTAATTTACCTATAAAACTGCACAAAATATAAGCGCTTACAACTACTATAACAAGAAGAGATAAATATATACTTGAGCTAACTGGAAAAACGTGGACAGTCAAATCACAAAACTAATTGGAAGAGGGTGAATAACAAACTGCAACACTCTCATTTGTTTCTGTTTTTATAGAATCTTCCATTCCAACGAATCTAAAGGAACATGAGATGAGAGTCAGTGGTGTGAAGAGGGAGAGAATACCGTCACGAGCTTTCCAAAATTTCACACGAAGTACAGAGTCTGAATCTGAAACTACGCCCTCTGATGGTATGTTTGAAAAATAAGTTTTTGCAATGGGAAATGTATTCTAATAAGTAGGTTTGCAAAATAATAATAGGGTAAAAATTAGTTTAATGAATTATAAAGGAAACCTTATGCATAAGAAATGAATAAAGTAACTTTAATGCAAATACAATTTGGAAATATTCGTACTGAAAATTCTCACTTAATATTTATAGATCATTACGACAATTCCGAACAGTTCGACAAAATTGCAATCGAACCTCGTTACAAAGGAGGAAACATACCGTCACATGCTTTCAAAATTTTACAAGAGATGACAGGGACCAGCGAAGGAGAAGGAGGTAAATATCCGTGCCAAAGAGTTCTATATACGCATTTTTAATGGAGAAATGACAGTTTTACTTTCGCTTTAATGACTTTGAATTTGATGTTCACTACCACTCACGCAGTGAAAACAAAAATTAACATTATAATTATCTCTATAACGATAACTGATCCATACATTATACGTACGCTTGATATTCATATTTAATAGCTATTAATGAGATTTATATGTGGTAGTGAGAATTAATGTTGTTGACTAGTTGATTAGTGATTGAAACGTTGCTCGAGTGATTAATTTAGTAATATATAAGTGAAAGTTAATTCTGTTGTGTGTTCTCAAGTGCAAAGCTACAATGGGCTGTCTGTGCTGTAACCACAACGGTTATCGAAATCCGGTTATAAGCTTCATGCTTACTGCTAAGCCACTGTGTGTATATGGAGGGGAATAATTTTGAAAAGTTTGATCCCGTACTGAATTGACAGATTTTTTTCGAGAAATAACAGCACGGATGTGGCATTTGGTTATAAAAATATTTTAAAATAGCTTACACTAATCTTTCTCTCTCTTTCAACATTTACTGTTTAATGAAATATTATAGTGTTCCTTACAAATTTAAATCCCCATTAACACTGATTATACTGTTCATTTAATGTTTTTAATCTAGACCTTTCTAGGAATTTGTTTCCCTGTTTAATGGGAGGGAAGTTTGGTGTAACCTCTGGAACTTTCTCGAAATTTAAGGAAAAGGTTCACTGAGTATTGATCTTCTGTTTGATGAAGGAATTGAGATTAGTAAGTAGGTGATATTTATGTTAAACGTAGTTTGTTTCCTGGTGGGACAGCTGTAAGTTTACCGACTTACTACGCTAAAATTCAGAGTTTCATTCTCCACAATGGACACAATAGATAGCTTAACGCGGCTTTGTTCTAACAAAACAAATAAACTTGGTTTATATATAGAGTGAGGCCGATCCGTGAACGTTGGTTATGTTAAATGTGGACCTTTTAGAAATAAAAATGTTTTGTTATCGTTAAATGGATTGGAATTTGCATAATTTTTATACTGAATAATTCTCCAAAACCTGCCAAACAATACAAACCATTACAACACTGATGTCAGTAGTGGTATTATTTTGCTATAAATAAATAAAATCCAGACTCAACTTAAATATGATGACACGTGCTCGAAGTACGATTTAAAATGTTATAGAAATGATAAAACAGTGCAAAAAAAAAAGAGACAGAAAATTTAAAGGTTAAGAGGAACAATATGTAAAATTATCGGAACGTAACATTAAAGAAAACCAACAAGAAATGGACAGAAAATTAAAAGAAGGTAAAGATGAGTGATACAGGGAGATAACGAGGAGTTAAATGAACGAGATATGAAACTTACAGAAGAATTACAAAAAATCAACTTGGTGAAAGAGAATGTCGTAGAAGCCATAGAAAATGTACTGACTGGACTTGGAAAAGCAGTAGAAGATTAGGACTGGCATGTCCAGGTGATTAGGGCGCTCGACTCGCAAACTGCCGGTCGCGGATTCGAATCCCCGTCCCACCAAACATGCCCACCCTTTCAGCCACTGGGGCATTATAATGTGCCAGTCAATCCCACTATTCGTTGGTAAAAGAGTAGCCCAAGAGTTTGCAGTGGGTGGTAATAACTAACCGCCTTCCCTCTCTTTCACCGTTAAATTAGGGACGGCTAGAGCAGATAGCCCTAGTGTAGCTTTGCGCGAACTTCCAAACAAACCAAACCGTAGGAGATTAAATAGGAGGATTATGTGACGGATTTATTAGTATATATTCATTTAATTATCGACGTCTGTTT